GACCGTGATTATATACCTAGAACGGATAAGACTCTTATATATATATATATATGTGTGTGTACTGTCGGTATTCAGGTGTTGGCGGCTTGAGGTTTAGATATATTTTATCATCCCTAAGGTGCGTTTAGACATTTCACAAACTATGGAAAACACAATTATCTAACTAAACTACCGGCGACATTATTGCTAAACCAAACTATTTATTTTATTTCTCTTGATACCGACAACAGGTGAGAAATAGCAAAAACAAGAAACAAAAGACTAGTATAGTGAAGCACGGGCGGATCTACGAGGGGAGGTGGCTTTCGGGCTGAAGCCCCCCTCCCAAAATGGTAAAATATAACCATATTTAAAAAATTATCTCTTAAAGTGTTGTTGTTCGTGTAATTACATTAAAAAGGACTTAAGGAATCACTTAAACACCATTTTATATAGATAGTTTTTTTCTTTTTTTCCGAAGTAATCATTTTTATGGGAAAAAAAGCTTTCGGGCTGAAGCCCCCCTTCCCCCTCCCCCCCCAAAAAAATTAAATCCTGGATCCGCTAGTGTAGTGAAGTAACAATTTATATATTTCTTTGTCTCGTATTTGTGAAAAGTTTAAACGCACCTAAATATGTTGTTTTATCTCCCTTTATCTCTTTATTTTTTGCCAGATTACATTGACAAGAGACTTATTTGGACTCAAGATACGTTAAAATATTAACGTTAAAAAATCTGATTAAAAATTTTTAACCTTCGCAATATCCGATACCTTGGACTTCACTTGGACAAACGTCTAACTTGGAATCCTCATACTAGACTGAAACGACAAGAAACCGCTCGACGTTTCCGACTACTCCAACACTTACTAGACAAACGCTCTAAGCTTCCAGTTAATTAAAAGACTTATATACATGACTACAATAAGACCTATTTGGACTTACGGAGTTGAGCTTTGAGGCTCCACTAAACCATCGAATTCCTCTCGTATCCAATCCTTACAATCCAAAATCCTTCGGAAAATCCTCAATGCTCCTTACTTTGTCACCAATAAAATAATCCATAATGACCTTAAATGTTCCTTATGTTTCCGATTTGGCACAATCCAGATACCAATCCTTCCATAATAAATTTCAGAACCATCCGAATCCTCTCGTTTCTAACCTTGCTTCCTCCTCGATCCCTGATAACCCTCCGAGGCGTCTGAAAAGAAGATGGCCTCGAGATCTCTTATTGTAAATACATTTTGTTTTTAGAGTGTTACCAGTGGGTAGTTTCTCAACAAGTCATTTCATCTTATTATTTTCTGTTATCAAATTTACTTAATGTATTTAATTTTTTTTAATACAGTTGTAAATATCATGAATAAATAAAAAATAAACCTTCGCAATACTCAACCTTCAATACACGGATAAGTGAAAATAAAAATTTGATTTATTAATTGGTGTACTTTAATTCTAATATACAAACTAGTTGGCCCTTTCGAATAATTCGCAGAAAATGTTGTTTACTGAAGAAATGGTAAAACAATATGGAAATAAATTGTTCCTATGTATTATGTAAGGAAGGAATTAATATTTTTTCCTTGGTCGATTACAATATTCCATTTTACATAATAGACCAAAATATTTGTACAAATTGCTTAGCTAGGACCTTTTTTAAACGCTGATTGGAAAGATAATAAAAGTAATAAAGGCAAAATAATGCCCGGATCATGAGATTTTCCAGATTAAAAGATAAAATAAAATGTAAGAAGAAACAAATGTCTTTAAGAAATAATAAAGTTAATATATCAGCCAGGAAAAAAGATGTAGCAGACTATTCTACACCTAAATGCAATATCTTTAAAGAGGAAGACATTATTAAGTATACCAAAACTAATGGACTGTATCTTTGTTAATAATTGACTGATTTTTACGATTATTTTTTGTTTGTTTTATGGGTAATTTAGTAATCTTTCTAATTATCATGGGATGAAAATTTGTATTCGAGGTTCTGTCGAGCTGCGAAATACAAATCTCAACTCTGCTTTTATTTAAAAAAAATATTTTAACACACTTTACTACTTCCGTCAATACAAATTGTTTAGATTATACATATTTCTAATCTATTTTTATTTTTTATTTTTTGTTGTTTTGTAGGTAGTTTAGTAATTTGACCAAGTTCTGGCGTACCGACAAAAAAAAAAAAAAAAACACCTTTTAGAAATAATATATAGGATAATACATAAATAATTAAATTGAGAATGTTTACCATTCCATTTTTGTATGTATGGAAATATAATAAATGGAGTTATTTAATATTGTGATCAATGTTTTTTTTAATCAGACATTTTCTTTCCTTGGTTTTTTTAATAAATGCATTAATTAATTTTGTAAATATTTTAAAGAATTTAGTTGACAATTTTCAAAATGGCTTTTAACTTATTTGTTGTTAGTTAACTAGGTTTCCTGCTAAGAGTGAAATTTATTTCTGTCGACACAGCCTTTATTATCGTGAATTATCGTTCCGGATGTCTCGTTTTTAAAAAGTTGTCTATGATAATGCCGCTTACTGATATAGCCGGCCTCCGGTATACGAACCCTTCGTGGCTAAACTGGATCAAGTCAATAAATTTTAGTTTTGAGATAATAGGGATAAATGCTTATGAATACTAATTGAATTCTATTGTTTTAAAGGATAATTGTCTTTCTAATTTAAATATGAGTTAGTTAGTCATCATTTGATTGGTTCAAATTCAACGATCTACACTGCCTCTGAGATATTATGAGAGGATTTTCAGGGCTTAAGAGAATTATTGCCATCTGTTTAGCAATGGCGATAACATTGATCTGTTTCACTTTGATTTTGAAAATATACACCACTAGCACGAGTATTAATTCGAAGCAATCATTGTTTGCTTCCTCACTGCCGAAAGAAGGGAAGCATTGTATTCGTACGAGAGGTTAAATAAAATGTGCTCAAAATCAAAAATTTCCACTCGTGTTTTACATACACTTAAAGGAAATTTGGAGAATAGTGTAGATATTAAATGGTATCAATTTCATTGAATTTTATTTAGTAATTAAAATTAATATAAATAATTGTTATCAATATAATGGCTGTCATGTGGAAGGCATTGATAATCTGTAGTGGGAGTTAGCTTAACATAATATTTTTATGATGTTAGAAAATTTAAAAAAGACCTAATTGATATTAAAGACCACTTAATTATACAATGATACACCGAGTTTAATCAAAATGGTTAGAGCCGTTTTTGAGAAAATTGTGAACATGTGTTTCAGCGTTGATATAAAGTGGCACTTCCGGTTAGCCGGTTTTTTAAGAAAAAACTGCCGTCACATGTAAGGCATATACCTATCTTAAATACGTAATATCAGTTTCGTACGACTTTTCGTCTTCGAGCTAGACTGTTAACACACACAGACCATTTTGCGACACTTGGCTATTTGGACTCAGGGGACCTCAAAACATGTATTTCTGTAGAAAACTGAGATTCGAAAATTTTTACAATCGCAATACTTACTCTTACTATATATTACATATATACGTAAGTGAAAGTAAAAAATACCGTGGAATTCAAGTGATAAAGAACTTATAGAAGATCTAGATTGTATTTTACAAATAATAAGAAGAAAAAAAAGTCAAAAGTGCCCATTCGCACGACTTTCCTTCCGATTTCAGACAATTTTATACATTTTTAAACATGTTTCATAAAAACAAATTTTTTTAAAATTCGATAACTACAAGCACAATTTTTACTTTCCTACCTATACTAGGTAAGGAAAGTATTGCAATCGGGTCAAATTTTCGACATGCGGTTTTCGACGGATCTATACGTTTCACAGCCCCCTGAGTCCGGAAAACACATTTTTAGCCATTGGTCTGTCTGTATGTGCCAAGATTTTCTCGGAAACTACTGAAGCTATATTGTTACTTCTTTTTTTATTTTGTAGGGTTTTGATTACTGATGCCTGTGACAGAAATTCGTTGCTCCATGCGCAATAGCTTGCGCGCAATAAATGAAAAACATGTTTTTCTATAGACTGTAGCGCAAAAACTGCTCTAACGATTTTGATGAAACTTTCCTATAATGTTCTAATCATTGTTCTTTCAATTTTCGTACATAGACTAAATTCCCAAAAAAAATAATGAAAAAAGTTATAAAGAAAAGAAAAATGTTTAACTTAATACTTTCCTACCTATACTAGGTAAGGAAAGTATTGAAATCGGGTCAAATTTCCGACATTCGGTTTCCGACGGATCTATACGTTTCAGAGCCCCGTTTAGCCTTGTAGTTTGAAACGTAATGAAATTCCCTACAAAGCCATATAAAAATCGTTAATTTTGGTCAACTATTAACGAAGTTACAGCTATTCAATTTCCATTGAAAGATTACGAGTTCATTTCGTGGTTTCAGAAAGGGGCGAATGAGAGGATAAAGATGACTAAGTGAAAATAAGAAAATTTGTTGCCCTCATCACATAATCTTCACTATTTCTTCTAGTTTTAATAGAAATTTTTGTTTGACAATACTAAGCTATAGCAAAAAGTTTTTGATCAGCAATATTAGTGAGTATCGAAATTTTTACATTGATTTTCCTTTAGCCGGTTTACATTGCTTTAGTTCATCAAATAAATCGTACTCAAATCTTTTGTTTGGTCAATTTTCAGGAAAATAAATCTAGCTCAATTCTGTTTTGTGTCTTCATGAACATATGTAAAGATATAAAAACTTTTCTGAAACAGCTAGGAAACTCGTATGAGTGGACATACCAGATTTTTTTTTTTTTTTTTTTTATTAAAATACTGCATGATCGGCCAAGCACTGCAACCAAGTTGTCTTGGTGCCCCTCGTCTGATCTACCGGGGCGCTGCTAACAGTTCGTGGTCGAGGGTCGTGTTGATACCGTAGAGGAAGGAGAGTTGGAGTGGGGGTGGGGAATGGACGGCGTGTAGTATTGCGGTTTAGATGATAGATAAGAGATAATATTGGTGTGAGGTGTACGTATCCACCGGCATGGGTACATCTGTAGTGAGGTCGATGGTGACCTTGTTGGGGGAGCCGGGTCGATGTGTCGGCGCCTGCGGCGTGCGCCCTCTCTTCCCCGCCGCTCACCGCTCCTCTCAGAGCAGCCCCGAGCAGTCGTCGGCACCAGCGGACATATGCTGTCTACCGGCTGTTATAATCGCAAAGGTAATAATAATAATAATAATATATAATAATATAATAATAATAATAATAATTGAGTGTCTAGTGGGTGAGTGATAGTGATGATCTAGGCGTTGAGGAACGACCACACCACGCGCACACTGCTCTCTTTATTGTTGTCCAAGATATATTTGTTGTTCGAACCTCTTTGCCATCCAAGTCCTCTCTCCTCGGAGCTAACTATATCAAGAAGGTTGCGGAGGTTATCGATTAAATATGGTGCGTACATTGTCATCTAAATATCGACGCCCTTTATGAAGGAACTGAACTTCCCACACACCCAAGACAAGGCTTTGTGATAACATATGTCGACCGGTGAGTGAGTGATTGATTATAGAACAGCCGAACGGTTCTGAATATAAATCGTAGTGTGGAGAGCGTGATCAATAATTGGAATGTGCCATCAAGTTTAATAGACCGTATAGCTACTCGCAGAGAGGGTTCTTGTGTTGTGTTGTTAATTCATTTATCTAATGTCTAAACTACCTGCATCTTGAATATTTTAATGCCAATCCATGACTAATGAACCCCCATTAATCCTATATATTATTTCTAAAAGGTGGTTTTTTTTTGAGGGGGGGGGAGAGGGTACACCATAACTTCGGTCAATTCTTCATCAAATCAGAATGATTGACCACTCATTTTGAATATATTCTTCTCCTTCACGTGCGAAAAATATTATTTAACATAGCATCAATTTCAACCAATTATTATACTGATTTATTTTTATAAATTTAACTTGAATATTCTTCAATAAAATCATCAGAAACAGTTCTAATCGAAACTATAAAACTAAAATTGGTTTCATAATTGTGGGTTGATGGTTGACTGTAGTGAATAATTGGATAGAAGGATGGTTGGGATGATCAGTCAAAATAAAAATAAATAATCCTATATATTATTTCTAAAAGGTGTTTTTTTTTTGTCGGTACGCCATAACTTTGATTGACCACTCATTTTATAGGTATTCTTTTCCTTCACATGTGAAAAATAGTCTTATTCTCCAGAAATTTATGCAAAAAAAAAGTTATGAAGGAAAAGAAACTTTATTTTCGAATAACACAAAAAGTATGCATTTTTTCTTGGTCGTACCCATAATAATTAGGAAGATTACTAAACTACCTGCAAAACAAAAAAAAAATCTTAAAAATCGAACAATTATTAACAAAGATACAGTCCATTAGTTTTGGTATACTTAATAATGTCTTCCTGTTTAAATATATTGAATTTAATAGTACTCTAGGACACTTTTTTTTTTTTCTGGCTGATATATTAACTTTATTATCTCTTAAAGAAGTTTGGTTGTTCTTACATTATATTTTTTTTAATAATTTAGAATATCCTATGATCGGTGTATTATTTTTCTTTATTGCTTTTATTTTATTTTCAGTCAGCGTTTAAAAATAGGTTCTAGCAAAGCAATATGTACAAATATTTTTGTCTATTATGTTTGATGGAATTTTGTAATCGACCGAGAAAAAAATATTAATTCCTTCCTTACATAATAAATAGGAATTACTTGTTTCCATATTGTTTTGCTATTTCTTCAATAAACAAAATTTTCTGTGAATTATTCGCACTTGCCAACTAGTAGTTATATTAATTTCAATAGCTTTATAGAGAAAGAAACTTTTAAGGAACGCTAATGATTCTCAGCATCATCGGTTTATTACATGTTTAATATACATAACTTTTAAGAACGTTTTTGTGAACTTTGGACTTATTTATCGATTAAAATACATACATATCAATTATACTTATTAAAAACACCATTTTCTGATGTCAATTAATGTCCTTTTGCAATAATCCAACAATATATAACTAATATTGAAATGATTGTTACAACGTACCCTGTCAATCTGTCTGAAGAATGAAGTTCCCTTCTTTATGGAACCAAAATTTAGCTAATTATATTATAATGTCCAGTTTCGTATTTTTAATAATATATTCAATATTAGTAAAAATAAAAATTATAGAAATGAAAAGTTCTAATACATGCTTACTTTCATACTTGGTCGGTTAGTCAGAACTTGACAAAAAAAAAAAAAAAAAAAAAAAACCATATTATTATTTTTTTTTTTTTTTTTTTTCAGAAATATGATATCAACCAAAATGAGTTCCTTTAATCAAATATTGGTGCAACTGGAGATTCCTGAAATATAAGAAACTTTATCAAGTCAAATTGCCACAGATATGGATTTGAATTGTTTTCTGGATAAATTTTTTAATTCGATCAGAATTGTTTCTCATATTGATATTTCCTCGAATTCCTTGTTCATGCTACCATATGTTTAATAATTGAATCATTACATCAGTATATCTAATCAATATCAAGGAGAATTGGCTTAAAATAGATTTATAATAATATGTTTCTCATGTCACTTATAATATACCTGTATATAATACAATAGTTAAAAAGTATTCTCCCTCATTTGAGTTATCGTAAAAATATTATTAACTATTTTTTCCTGTCTTTAAGTAAATATGAATATGAATTTTTTTATAATTGTAAGATATGGAAAAGTTTTATATACAATCAACATTTAGTATTTTCAATGGTGATTCAGTATAATGTTTTACTCACTGATCTCGGTTGAAAGCTGAATGGACCATAATGTTGCAATAATTGTTACATCATATCGTTCCCACAAAACGTGGAAGCTTATTGATGGAATCGAACTTTATTATGTCACAACTGCTCATCAGCTGTTGAATGGACGCCTCTTCTACTCTATTGTTCCCTCTCTTTCAGCATGGAAGTGTTTATCGGGTTGTATAATGTGAAAGGTCAGTTCTCACCAATGATGGTAATGGTAATAATAAAATGTATAATAGTATTGTAGTGGAAACAATATCGTCGAGGCATTGCCAGTTAAACAGGAAAGCTAATTAATATAATCCGGTTTAAATTAAAAGAAAATTCCAAATGCTATTAAATATATTTATCGATTATCAGCTAGAGATATACAGTCCCTTATTTTAACTTCACACTACAGTAAGATTTATGCTGTTTGTTAAACTGTTAATCCTTTATTAGTTTGTTACCCTGTTAATCCACATAAGTCCACATCTTGAGATTTTCTGTGTAAAAAAAAAAAAAAAACTTTCTCTTTTGTATATTAAAAAACTTTTATATTGATAAATTTAGTTCTGGTGATAATGTAAATATTGAAACTAGTCAATTATATGAAAAGAATTACTTGATTTTTTTTCCCTCTCTTTTTTACTACCAGTTAATCTCGAGAGTCCCAGTTATCTTCTACTGTTAATATTTATTTTAAAATATTGTATAATTAAATTGTATACTTCTTCAAATTGAGTGTTTAATCAATCAATAAGAGGGCAAAGTAAAAATGAATAAATTATATTTATTTTAGCCATCTGTGCCGACATTTCAGCCGAAGTTCCAGGCCAACATCACGGCTGTTCGTTCAAAGAGTGTTGAATTTTTATTTGTCGAACACCCTTGGAATGAACAGCTCCGATGGTGGCCTGAAATGTAGGTGGGAATGTTGTCACAGACGACAAAAATAAATATAATTTATTTATTTTTACTCGGTTCTTTTATTGATTGAACATTATCTACTACTATTATCCACTATGATGAATCGTCTACTTCATTGCTGAAAAATAAACACATCCAAAATTAACAGACAAAGTTATTAAGAAATGAAAATTTTATTTGCGTATAATTGAAAAAGAATAATACATTTTAGAGTAGTTTATACCTATAATAATTTGAAAGGTTTCTAAATTTTCTACAAAACCAAAAAAAAATATTGTTGAAAGCATACCATTATTAGCAAAGATGCAATATATTTAAATTTGTACCTATTTTTTGTTGCCTTATTATGTTCAATAATGAACCGTATTCGCAAATAAAATAAAAATAACCGTAATAAGCTAAATAAAATTTAAAAAACATAATTTATTTTCTGTCATAATATAACATTTACTTATTTCCATATTGTATTTCTATTCATTCCACTGACTGAAATACTGTGCGAATTATTCATATGGGGCAAATAGTTAAACCCAGTTACTGGAGTAGACTTTTATAAGTGGACCAATTTTAACCTCAATAGATTTTTTAAATTTGTCTCTGGGTTTTAAAAATTCTGTTCTTCAGTGCCAGACTAATCAACAAATTGTCCTTTTTCAATACTTAAGACTATTTTAAATTAAATGTGATCACATGAGTTGCTTTTCAAAGATTTATTCCCTTAATTTGGCAAAAAAATTTTTGTTGAATAAAAGGGGGTTTAAAAAAAAAAATATTTTTTCAAACAAATTTATAGTAGTTAAAGAGCCTATTTTAAACAATTAATATATTAGGTTAATTTATATTTTATTAGTATTATCCTGAAAAAAAAATTATAAAACCAGATTTGGACTCTAAAATAAATTATAAAAACTATGCTTCATTTCTATTTAGTAACATTGTGAGGAAATCTTGTAAATGCAACATTTATTATATATTGGTGCTTTTAAGAAGAAAAAAAAAGCTTTTAAATGCCAATTTTTTTGGTTCTTAAAACTACCAACAGACAATAGAATTTTCAAACTTCAACGTTGACTCAAAACTTTAAATCAGGGTTGAACTTAATATGATTTTAATGTTTCATCAATTAACAACTAAAAACGTATAATTTTGTTATATTTATTTCATGATAAGAACAATATGTTACATTCGGTTATAATTAATAACAGGCTGTTATCAAGATGGCCTTCAACCTTTGTGATTCATTTCTTAGGAATATCATGCACGCAGCTTGGAATTTTTGTTTCCCCTTATCAGTTTCAAATTCCTATGTAATTAAAGTTTGTTACTCTTTAGAATTTGATTTTCCGATGTTTGAATGAATGAAAACGTGTTTATCAACAAACAAAAATACAATATACATATTTTAATAATTAATGTTCGACTAAAACTCAGATTGGTTTTATTAATAAATTTATAAAAGGTTTTAGCTATAATGTAGTATTTGTTAGGTTAAATACAATAGTACTTAGTTACAATAGGTGGCCTATTGTAATAATTAAAATTGTAGGTTGATAAGAGAACAAATAGCAACATAGAAAGTATAATATGTTGGTGTTAATTTCTTTTCACTCATTAGAATTATAATAGGGTGTACTTTGCTAAAAAAAAAAAAAAGAGTTCATATTTTGATTTTTTTTAATGAGAAAAATTTTTAATGCTTATTATTCTCAATAGTTGAATTTAATATGTCAGTCATTCATTCAATCAAATATGGCATACTGAAGAAAATAATATGTAAAGTTGAAGTTATGAGCAATATCAAATTAGCTATTATTCACTAATGTTCCATAAATATTAAATCAATCTGCTTCCTTTTTATTTTGTATGTAAAGATAAAGTTTCTTCATTAAAAATAGTATTTTATATTTTTGTAGTATATGTTATTTTGTTTTTTTTATCATTTTTACATTTATAAATATAAATGAGCCTTTTAGTTGACAGAATGGCTAACTGAAATTTCGACATTTTAATTGTTAATTTTAGTAATATTACTAGTGTGAAAATTTTTCCATTTTTTTTTTCACAACACTATATTTCAACACTGGAATCAACTTACTCACTGTCTGTACAAATATTATAAATTTTCCAACTAGAAATATCACTAAAATTACTACTCAAAAATGTTGAAATTGGAGTTTTTCATTCTGTCAACTGAAAGGCTGATATATATATTTTTTTTTTTTTTTTTTTTTTGTTAAAAAATAAAAATGTTTAAAGTTCAGGGCCTTATCACTTTTGCCAATGACCATCTCTCTATAGTTTATATTATTTATTTTATATCTTATACCCAGAGAAGCTTTCATATAATAATAGTTGAATGACAACTTGAAAGTACGTAACATTAAGGAATTGTTAATGTTTTTTATTAACAATGTGTTGTGTTTATTGAGATGAATATGGTGCAGTAACACCGAAAGCTACTCTGGATTAATGATTCAAAATGAAATAATATAAATTATAGAGAGACTGGCATTGGCAAACACCCTGATCTTAAAAAAATATAGAACAGTCTAATATTAACTAAATAAAAAATTTTACAATATATATATATATATATATATATATATATATATATATATATATATATATAAATTACAACACATAAACTCTAGAAAATTCCATCTGAGTTTGATATTGCCAGTTAGATTCATAAGAAAAACGTTAATATTCATTTATATGCGTGGAGTATAATCACTCCTTTATCATCCGTGCTCAACTGGGGAGGAAGTTGTGTTAGATTGAATTATCATTTGTTGCAATCTGCTCTGGTTTATTATCTCATAACTATGAATGGTATTTAGAATATATATATGTATTTATTAAAATAAATATTTTATATATGTATCACAAATAAAACTAAACAGTTATTAAAAGTATATCATAGATTCTCTATACAAGGTTAATCTCATAGAAAGAAAAAAAAATCATATGAAAATAAAATGAATAATAAAGTACATATGTTTCAATTTATTTATTATTGAATTTTAAAATTACTTAGATTATTTTTTTCTTACATTAATTTTCTAAACCAAATCAAATGTCATTTAACTTCATAAAACTGAGTTATGCAATATCAGCAAATCCAAATCCTTCAGTCGATGAAGAACGGGGTGAGCCGTCGTCCCTTCGTTTCAAAGTTCACATGCGATTAAAGAATTATCTGAACCCGTTTGCGATAGGTGTACTCACTACCTAATCGTCCTTTATGTTTGTCCCATGATATTTTGAAGCAAGTGATCAAGAATTTCAAGTCTGATGCATGGTACAGTTTTAAAAAAAGTATGTGTAATTAATTTCTGTTATATATATATATATATATATATATATATATATATATATATATATATATATATTAAGATAAGAAATATATAGTTTATGTATTTTTAGTTTTTATTAAATATTTTACAAAAAAAACTTGTATACACTTCCATCATTAGAACCATTTGGACACGTGGAATTGAGCCTTGGGTCTTCACAAAATCATCAAATTTTAACTATATCCAATCCTTACAATCCAAAATCCTTTATGTTCCTTATTATGTCACAAATAAAATTATCCATAAAGACTTTAACATTCCTTTTGTTGAAGACTTAAGTTGTAAAGGTCTGTTTTTGTTGTAATTTCTGTAATGTAATTCAAAACCTAGGAGTCAGATATACAGGTATCTATATAAATGTATGTGCCTGTCACTTTAACTCCTTATAGAAAATTGTGCTTTATTGATAACTAGTATTAATAAAGATGGTATAATACTAAACAGAGTAAAGCATATATTATAATCATGATTATATAAGTGATATCATCTATGTTTTCCTTTCTTTTTCTTTTTTTTTTTTTTTCTTATACTGAAATCAGAGCTAAAATTAGTAAATTCTATTTAGGCAGTATTTAATTGTTTGTTTAGGATATAAAATAAACGATAAACGACAATAAAAGAAAATTTTATTAATTATCTGAAAATATTTAATGGATAAGATTGGTTATTTATATCAAACAATAAATATTAATTCTGTACTGTCAACACACTTAATTGATAGGAATCTTGCCGATGTAGAAAGAAAGAAAGAAAGAGAGAAAAAAAAATAGGCTCAGAAATTTTTAAGATATGAATATTGCTGAGTTGGTTACTTCTGCTTATTTTGACTGTGTTAGGAGCTAGCATATCTCTAAACTGACTGTTTCGAGAAAGGTCTTAAAATATATGTTTTCTATTATAAGTTGTTTATTTTCAATTCTACTTCTGTTAACAATAATTAGATGTTATATTTTTTTTTGTTTTTGTTTTTTTAGAAAAATCATCATTAAAGAGAAGGACAGGGAGTTTACAGCGAGTAGTAGAGCCAACCGCTGGCTTTGCCTCTAGGTGTATGATTTCATCGAAGCTACACTGGCCTGTCATATATAGGTATGTTTATTTTAATATATTTAAAAAATAAAGTAATAACAAACTAAACAAAATTTTAAAAATATTTTTTCTCCATACATACTATAGTAATCAATTAAATTATGAGTTATAAAAATAAGAAAGGATTTTATCTTTCTAAAAATTAACAATTAATGTATGTTTTGGGTGAAACATTCATTAAAACTTGAAAGCATAATTATAATTTCTAGCACATTTGTTCTTAAGAGTATAAGTAAAAAAATGGAATTGTTTTTAGTTTGAATTCTAATTGATCGTAGTGGTATGTTTCAATGATAAGAACAATATAAATTACAATAAAGACATCATATCGGAAACATGTATTTGTTCCTTCATTTTAAATATGTCAAATTGCTTGAAAAATGAAAAAAAAATTTGAATATTTAGTAATTGACCGTTGCATTATTTTATTGTATTTTTATTTTATTGTACTTACTGTTTATAATTTTAATAAGCTTATTCACATTGTTTATAAATTATGTCTAAATATTATGTAATTGCCACAATTCTCTATCTATTTGTATTTTGTCCGTTCTAGCCCTGATGAAGACCTGCAATGTCGGGTCGAAATGTTGTCTTTCGATAAAATAGTTTTACCACTATTTAGCCTATTTATGACCGCAACCCCGTACCATCTCCTTCCTCTCCCTTCCTCTCCTTCCTTGAAAAAAATTGTCTTTGTAGTTTGGATTCTGATTGAACAGAGTGTTATCTTTCTATAGTTAAAGAAGTATAAATAACAACAACAAAAAATGCATGGAACCAAATTTGGTTCTTTGATGTATAAAAAATAGTCCACAAATGAAATTTTTAAGGTTTTCTTGAAAATTAGCCAGTTTTAAATTACACTCTTTAGGCCAAACACATACGATTTATTGGTTATTATTATTAATTACAAAGTAAAAAGTTTTTTCCGAGACCCATTAAAAATGTGAAATTAATTAATTTGTCTGTAGTCAATATAAACTACTAATAACTTGAAACTTACTCTTTTTTTTTTTTTTTCAAACAACTAATAGAAAATTATTAAAGAGTAAAATAAATTATTGATTTAAAGAATTTATCAACATTTAATTTTGTTTTTCTCATTCTAGTGCATTTACTGAAATTAAAATTAAATTATATGTTTTTTCTAGAAGAATATTTAAAAACTCATTGATAGTATTGAGAAATAAAAGTAGCAGCTACTTTATTCATAAATTATTTGGTAAAGAATGGTGATTTTAATTATAAATTAGATATTATAAAGACCCTAATGGTTTGTGCATTTTTTAACTTTTTCAGAACTTCAAAATTTTCGAGTAATCGGCACAGGAAATCTCAGCCGTTTAGAGAAACGTGACTAGCCTGATTGTAAAAACGTACGTAAGACGCGGGAGGAGAGAGAGTGCAGCAACTGGTACTTGATCTGGGGTAAAGAAGATACAACAGTTTTTAACAATCGAGCAAAATGGGTTCTGTAAACGTGAACAGGAATGTTTCGGACGCATTCTACCGCTACAAGATGCCCCGGCTACAGGCTAAGGTTGAAGGCAAAGGAAACGGAATTAAAACGGTCATCGTCAATATGGCTGATGTAGCAAAGGCCATTGGTCGACCTCCCACTTGTAAGTTTTTTATTGTATTTATTTATTATTCAGTTGTTGTTATTATTTATTGTAATATTTTTATTTATTCATTCTTTTCTTTATTCAATCATCATGTTTATTTAGTTAAACATCTTTTAATCAACAAATGTAAATAATTTTTTTCTTGAACTTTATCTCAGAACTAAGTTGTTTTTTTTACTTTTCTCTTCTATTTCTCTGATTTGTTATTATTTACAGTTTTACAATTTAACATATTTTTTTTTTTACTTTTGGAAAACTTTATCCCAGAACAAAGTTGTTTTTTCTTTTCTGTTCTATTTTTCTGATTTGATATTAATTACAGTTTTACAATTTAACATATTTTTTTTCTTCTTTTGAAAAAATCTGCAAATTATTTCATAATGGTTTATTATTTCCAAACAATTATACATCTAAAGTAACATTACCTTCCGAGTTACAAAGAAAAAAAAACAAAAGATGATTCCAGTTATTGGACGAAACTGTTTTTCTTTAATCATTAGTAATATGCTTAAAAAAAAAAAAAAAAAAAAAGCATTAGTTCAGTAACACATTTAAAATTTAAAAACCAAACCAATGATATAACATTTGGAGTAGAACACATTAAAAAAAAAACTGGAGACCATATCTTTGCTCCTAATTGTCCGATTTTAACGACTTTTTTTTTGTTTTTTTAGAAAATTTTGTAAACTCTTAAAAAACCGTTATTCGGCATTTAATATTACCATCCCTCATAACTTTTTTTCCAGCTTCTTTTCGTTGAAGTATGTTATATAGATAAATTTAAAGGGCGTCGAGAAAATGACTTTAGCGAAGTTTCATTGAAATCTGTACATTTGTTTAGGAGCTACAGTCTACAGCAACGCAGGTTTTTCGGCCGCCATTTTGAAAGTTAAAGGCGGAGAGTAATGTCGATGAAGGAGGATCATCCTCGGGTGACCTCTGATTTTATATCAAAATTTGAAAAAAAATCGGTACAATAGTTTCGGAGAAAATGCGGATAAAAAATTTTTATTCGTTCTTCGAATTCTACGCATCGTGAAACGTGAAACCTCAAATTTTGAGAGGGGATTATGTTTTTAAATTTTTTGGTCGATCACAATGTTTCATTATTGAAAATAATAAACCAAAAATAGCAAGCATTCTTTTTTTTTATTTACAATAAAGAAAAATAGAAGTGATTGTTGGAATGCTCTTGAATACGTTTAGTGTTTTATGTGACGCATCTAAAGAGAATGCTCTTGTTATGAACTATTGCAAATTTTTTTTAGCTCTAGTCATAATATCGTTTCTCCATTAATTGCAATACAAAGTAAAGTATAGAAAGTCTTTGAAACTGGATTTTTTTTTCATATTTGATATAATTTATTTATTTTTTATATTGTCATGAATGTTAGTATTCATAATGCTTGTTTATGCAATTTTTGTTTCTATTTTAGTGTCATTTATAAGATGGGCTATTATTGATTGATTTATGATTTATTGAAATGATTGATTTATTATTTAATTTATTAATAAGATGTTTGCTAAGTCCAAAATATGCTGAAATAAGATTCCAATATTCTACAAAAAAAAAACCATTTACACTACCATCATCAGGCCCATGGACATATAGTGTTGAGCTTTAAGGCTCTACAAAAACATCACATTCTTCTCTTATCCAATTCTTACGATCCAAAATCCTCCGTAAAATCCTAAATGCTTCTTATTATGTAACAAATAAAATTATCTATAAAGACCCTCAACATTCCTCTTTTGGAAGACTTGGCCCGAACTAGATATATACCTCTTTTAATTTCAATCTCTTCGGTCATCCCAATCCTCTAGTTCGTAACCTTTCATCCATTACAATTGTTGATAACTCTCCGAGGCATCTGAAAAGAAGATGGCCAAGGGACCTCCTAAATTAATATATCTTTGAAGTGTTACCAATTGGTAGCTTCTTCACAAGTACCTTCATATTACATATTCCTATAGCAGATTTACTAATTGTATATATGTTTACAGTTGTAAATTTCAATTAAATAATTTTTTTTTTTAAATCATAAAGTGACATTTCATAACCTTAACTAATAAAGTACTTCGAACAATTCTTCCTTTATGAACACGAAAATTATGCACTTGTTGCAACTATATTTGATGTATAAAAGAGTTGGTTTTATTTTCATGCCCTTAAACTGTTTTGTATCGATAAATAAAGTTGAAATTCATAAGAAGGTTTTTTTAAATCAATCTATATCAAAAATACACTTTTAGTGTCTTTTTGCAATAAACCGGTGATATATTGGAAAATAATAATTTAAGGTTTATGAAGAAAAAAAAAAGTTCAAATTTTGATATTAGAAAGTTGGTTATACAGATGTTCAACTGTGTTTAATTTTATTAAAAGCTATAACACTATTCTTAGAAGTGAGAACATTCATTTTCATAGCATTTGCTTAATTTGAAAAAATTACTAGTAGCAAAGTTTGGGAAGTAGATAGACTGTCATTTAGTTAACAATAATAGTGCTTTAAATTAAATGCGTAATTTTATTTAAGTTTCAGAATTAAATCAATGCATTTTAATTTTTTTTTTTTTAAGACCCAACAAAATATTTTGGCTGTGAGCTTGGCGCCCAGACACTTGTAGACTTTAAGAACGATCGGTTCATTGTGAACGGCTCTCATGACGCTGGGAAGCTGCAGGACTTGCTGGACGGGTTCATCAGGCGCTTTGTCCTTTGCCCCGAGTGTGATAATCCAGAGACGGATCTCCTCGTCAACTCGAAGAAGGAAACTATATCGCAAGGATGCAAGGCGTGCGGCTTCCACGGCCAGCTCCAATTCAATCACAAACTGAATACATACATCATCAAGAATCCTCCGAGTGAGTAATATTCTTATGCATAGCATCACTACAAAGTTTTTATTTATTTAGATTAGAAACTTATTAATCAATCGCATAATCATTTTCATATGCTATTAAGGTAAATGTACCAATAATAGACACTTTAGAGAATTTTTCAAATTAATGAATGAATGAATGAAAATAATTTTATTATTCTGGGATTTATAATAAAATATTAATATTGAAATTTGTGCACTAGATAGGCAGTTTGTATTATTTTCATATATTCTAACGCATGATTTTTTCACCTATTACAGACACTTTGAATTTTCAAAGATCCAGTAATAGACACTCTTTTGTACCAGTTATTGACAGGCTCTTTTTTATTGGAAAAATTATAACAATAAACAACAAAATAACAGACATAATCTCACCAAAAATAAGTATTTTCAGACAAAAGGGAAGTGAAAGTAAAAATTATAAACGCTATATTGATTTATATTTCATTGTGGGTGTTTTTATTTGTTTAAGTACCCCCCCTATATATACAAATTTTAATATTTATATCACTGTAATCTACAAAATAAAATATTAAATAATACCAACAATAGCATTTATGAAAAACACATATGTATATTTACATAATATCGTTGGATTCCTTATCATATTAAGCTCATGTTATGTATGGAAGCATGTTCTTATCTTTCAGATGTACTCGTATTCCTTCGGTTCCTCAATTACAACTATTCTTTCCTATTTTATATATAACTATCTTTTATATTAGAGATTAATGTGAAATGGTCAGTTTTTCAAATAAAAAAATTAAAGGTACTTTAGTGGAAGCTAATATTGAAAATTAGCCATTTAGGTCCTGTTAGAGAACATCAATCAGAATAAAACCTACATTTTATTTAAAACTGCTTAATTTTACACTGATAAAATGTGTTTAGTCCATGATATAAAAAGTTGCTGTAACATACCAAGCATAAAAAAACTTTAAATATGCTATTTCACTTTTGTACGACTTTTCAGTTTTTAGCTAGACTGTTAATACACACAGACCATTTTGGGATACTTGGTTATTTCTACTCAGCTCAGGAGACCTCACAACATGTATTTCCATTGAAAACTCATATTAAAAAATTTCCACAATTGCATTACTTTCCCTTCTATATATGCGGAGTGTTTCATAATTGCTACTATTTTAGGCAAGTGTTCATCAACACAAATTAAACAAAAAAGTATATATTAATATAGATATATTAACATATATCTTAAACAGATATCAATTTATTTATTTATTAAACAGATATCAAAGGGGCCTCCATTTTGTTGAATACAACATTCAACACGATGAATCCATGCTTATCTGGCTCTTCGTATAGCATCAGGATGGTGCTTGATAGTTACTACGCCTTCCATAGACTTCATCCAGCCCCACACGAAATAAGCTGATGTTGTTATATCCACAGATTGTGGTGGCCATTTAACATGTCCTTTTCGACCTACCCATCGGTCTTTCATAAGTTGCATTGTTGCAGTATTCACTCACTCTAAAACACACAGAACTAGACCAATAGATGAGGAACTGCTATCATTTGCCTATCATAAACTTTGTACAGTCAGTCTTAATGTAGTAAATAAATAATAACTCTTTAACCTTCGATATCTGTTTAAGATATATGTTAATATGAACTTTTTTGTTTATTTTGTGTTAGTGAACACATACCTAAAATAGTGCCGTGCAATTACAAAACATCCTGTATATATTTAATAACAATCAAATGCATTAATAAGATTATAAATTATAATACTTTTGTCTTTTTCCAACTTCCAGACATACTATATTTTTTTTTAATCAACTAACCAATCAATGAAATCAAACAAATGAAATGATTCATTATAGACATGGGTGTCTTATTACTAGTTCCGTTCCTTAAATGCTGTTCTGGTAATGGTAATGGACTAATGGACACACAATACATTCATAGGTTACTTTATATAATTTAAAACAAGGAAAATAAATTTTGCACTGTTTTTTAATTAAGAAATAGAGAAGTACCCTCTAATAAATTAAACTTATTCCAAATTATGCATACAATTTCAAACTTACCTCCTAAACAAAAGTGATAAGGCTGTCTCTATGTGACAAACACTAGGTCTTGTTTTATTAAAAAATGAACTGCCAAGCGGCCATTGATGGATGGAATAAGCTTTGGTTCAGATATCACCTTTCTGAGTGTGTCAGCTGAAAATCTCTTAATTGCTTGAAAAGCTCCTTAATCGCTCATGAATTTAAAAATGTCTATTACTGGTACATTTATCTTAATGGATGTCAATAAATAAATTAATATAAGAAAGTAGAGTATAACATAAGTTATTTAAATTGTGTGAAAACTCTCGGACTAAATATTTATCCCCTTTTTCTTCTAATGCTTTTGAAGTATAAGCAATATTATCAAAACATGTTATTTTTGTGCAAACATTATACAAGATGTGACAATTAAATATCGAAACTGATGCTGTAAAATATTTCATTTTGATTCCATACATATTTGATTATCACCTCCTTCAGGACGAGTGCCACCTTCTCTTGTAAGGAATTTAGTCTAATCCTTCATCGGTTACCTTATTCAATCCTCGATTTGTTTCTATTTTTCAGACATGAATCCAGGAACCCAAGGTGCATCGCTAACAGAAGGGAAACGCACTAGAAGATCAAAGGCTAAGCAGAATGGAGACGCTGGGCAAGAGGGTCGTTCTGGCTCTCCCAAGTCTGACGATGAGCCTGGCGAATTTATTAACGCTCCCTCAGGCAAACAGGTAATAATGATAAAATAAACAAATAAAAATGTTTAAAAAATATAAGTCAACTTCTAACCTTAATGAGTTAAAAACGAACTAATAATTTATATACATATTTACACACACAAAAAAAAGCTATTTATTCACAATATTTCTCCAATTCATCTTCGACGCATACTACTTATTTTCAAGTTTATTTATTATCAGCCAATTTTTAAAAGTTTTGTCAACTTTGATTTGTAGTCGTTAAGTTGGCAAAACTATTAAAAATTGGTGTAAAATTGGCTGATAATAAATAAACTTGAAAAAAAAAAAGCTATTTATATTTTTTTGGAAAGTGGATGGATAGAAAGTGATTGAATAAGCAGGATTATAAAGGTGGGTGATATTGAAGTGACAGACGTAGGAGGAGATGGAGCTCCATCGTATGGACCAAGGATTGAATAATGAAAGCCACGGTTCAATGAGCCATTGTATAATATAAATCTAAGGACAAGAGAAATGGGTATAAGACGGAGGACATGCAATGAGGAAGGGTTTGAAGTTTTATTCGAAGGAAAATTTTCCAAGAGAATAGGAATAAGAAGTTTTGTAATGAAAAGTTATAGAATGAAAAAGGGAATAAGGATATTATTATAAGTAACTTATTTTTATTTGCAGCAGTTTCTATTCCAGGTTAGAGGGACTCTGCTTTATTCCCTTTTGAAAAACATTTTTTTATTTATTCCTCTTAGCTAAGTTTTTTATGCATATAGAACGACGGTATATTATATTGAAGAAACAAAGACCCACTATTAATATATTGTAACATAAATTCTGATTTCACCTCGCTCATTTTTCACAACTTTACAAGTGGTTAAAGGAAACTGCTTCAATTCCATTGCTAATGACCTTCTTATAAATTATATCATATTTAAAGTTCAAAAAGCCTTTAAAAAAAAAAAAAAAATTTAAAATGTTGCGACGGTTTATAAGTGAAGTCATTAGTATTCTAAAGTTTTGAATACTCTTACAAAATTCTGTCTTTAGTTCTAAAATTAATTTTACGACGATTTATACGGTAAAAATTATATAATTATTCATAGATCTTTCTTGTTTTAATTATTTTCTTTTACAAATGTATTTTTGGAAATTTTCTAAAATAACATTTAATTCCTCATTTTGAAATCAGGCTGAAGATGAAGACAATTGGGCTTTGGACATATCAGAGGAAGCTGTGCGTGCCAGAATGCAGGATCTAACTGATGGAGCTAAGAACCTTACCCTCTGTGAAGATGCTGAAAAGACAGAGAAGGAAAGGATGGATCTGTTCTACATGGAGGTAATATTGTGATTGTATTATATTGATTTAAAATATAAATATTTCTTATTGTCTCACAAGAAATGTTGGTTTTGAGGGGTGTTGAAACAATTAGTTTCAATTACCTTGTTAATTTATGAACTGAACTGTCGAATATATAAGTGGTGTAATGTCCATTCCACACGGTTAACTTTCTTGACCAATGCTGTGTTCTATGAATTTTAGTTCAGTATTTTGGTTTTCAATCACTTGGGTAGACAGAGTTTATTGATCCTTTTACATAGTTAAATTCGAACAAAATTGAGATTTCAGTTAACATATTTTCCTGCTAGGTGTGCCGGAAAAGTTTGTTTTTCTTACGGCTCTTGATTTCTTTGCCTTCCACATGTTATAGGTGACATTTATGATTGTTTAGTTCTCTTGATGATTTTCAGGGAGCACATGGTTTACAATAACTGTACATGATCACATTCGCTTGCTTCCTCTTCATCAGCCACTTTCTTCAATAATGGTTGGGAACCTTTTATAGCAATCTCCATCCTGGTTTTTTTTTTTTTTTTTTATGAGATAGAAAATTATTTGTCCTATACTCAACCCTCAGCGTCGAGGACCAGGAGCTATATGGCGTCGCTCACCTCTCTGTGGTTCTCTGTTTGGGAAAGTCACCGTCCTCATGTGAGAATCTAACCTATGCTGTAGTGGTCTAAGCAATCGAGTAGGGCCTGCACTTATTTATTTTAATTTTTATTAATTATTTTTATTTCTTATCTTTTTTTTTTTTTTTATTATTAAATCCCGAGACCAGGATGAACTCAAAATATATAATTTTTTCTACCGCATTAACCCGCTCGACCACCGCGGACCCAATCAGGAAATTAACGTTAACTTGAAACTTAACTTAATTAATCAGTGTCTCTTTGGCCAATAAGCATATTTTACTTATAAGGTAGATAGATATCTATCTTCTTATAAGGTTAAACGCTGAGTTTGATATTTTTTTTTTTTTTTTTTTTTGCGGTACAGGTTAAGAAAAGAGTGGAGACAAACAGCTTGGAGGGGCAGCAGGCCGCTAAAGAAGTACTGGCCGAGGCAGAGAGATTGGAAGTGAAGAGCAAGGCACCTCTTGTACTCGCCGAGCTGCTCTTTGATGATAAGATCCACGTCCAGGTAACACCTTTATAACATATCTTCATTAATTGGAACATCATTTTAAAGATTTTTTTTTTTTTTTTTTCTCCCCTTCAGATAGGGAAAATAAGCACATTATTCAGAAAAGTTATAAAGATAAAGGAACTTTATTTGCCCGTAATACAAATTATGTAATTTGTGTTTGATATTATTCCCATGATAATTTGAAAGGTTCTAAATTTCCTACAAAACGGGAAAAAAAATGATCAAAATTGAACCATTATTAGCAAAAAATATAGCACAGTGTCAGTTATCCAATCTAATCGAGCTAATCCAGCCCTAGTACAGATTGTTGCAACAACTTTAAATAGATTAAAAAGAGAATACATCTCTGTCGAGTTAGTTTTAGTTTATTTTCAACTCTGCCCTGCCTCTCTGGCAATACCGCTATTTATATTAGTGGTATGTTACTGTTCGTAGCAACTCGCTGCTCCATTTTTAAGCAATGTAAATTTTTCTTTAGCTGCACATTTCCTTCTTTTCCTTAGTTCAGCTTTGTCTTCTTAATCTCCTCTTTTCAGGGGCCTCCTTGGCTATTCCTATATCCTTCTTCTTTTTCTTCCACCCATTTTTCTATCCTAACCATCAGTTCCATGAGTTTCTGTCTGGCAAGGTTTCTCATTTCTTCCATGCTCTACCCTTTGCGTCTATTTGTTCCAAGTGGGTAAAACAGGAGTTTCTTGGACGTCCTCGTGGTCTCACTTCCATAGTTTTAATTGAGTTTCTGTAGGAACTTCTTTGCCGAGGCAGTGACACGACTTAGTAGTCATTCATTCATAATCCAGCTCTCCGCTCCACAGAGAAGTACTGGTAGGAAGATAGACTTGAATAAGTGAAGCCTTACATCCCACCCCGCTTCCCTTTTTCTGATAACCGAGTTACAGATCTCATAGTAAACGGAATTTGTCTTGGAGATTCTGCTAGAGATTTCCGAATCTATTTTACCAGATCTACTGATTACCTTACCAAAATACGTGAAATCCGTCACCATCTCAATCAACTCTCCACTTCAAATAATCTGGGCATCTTGAGATCTACCGACTTGAAGGACTTTTTTTTGTTGGAATTAATAATCGTTCCCTTTCTCTTCAGTTCCTCATTCCATTCTGTTACTGCCTGTCGAGGTCGCTCAAGAGATTCAGCAATGAGAACTATATAATCTGCAAAGAGGAGGAACTGTATGGCTGTAAGATATAAGTTTCATCTCCTATATAGAGAGACGTGTAAGATCCTATATCCTATTCTTCTTTCCAAAGAAAAGTAGATTAATGCCACAATTTATTTCCATCCGTTAATGAAAGTTTTGAAGAACTTTTATTTTTCTTTATCCATTAGTTAAAAATGTTTCTTTCGTGAGGATATAGTTTCTCAGAGTTATCAACAGTTTCCCTGTTGATGGAGACATACCACACTGAATAGACGGTATAGTCTATCACAATATCCTCAGTGGTATCTGGTATCCCATAACTAGGGCATCGGGGACCAATGTTCACACCAAACCTGATGTTTAGTTTTTAAAAGAAGTCCAGATTTGTCAAATACACGCTCTATACCTGTATTGGGTTGGCATATAAGTTCTTTCAGTTTTTCTGTTTATTTTTATGTCACTATGATACACTTCTTATCTGATGAATTAATCACTAAGATGGATTGTTTATCCTGTTAGTAATATGTCAACAATTAGATCTGTTAACTCTTATTGAAACTATCTTAGTATGGTGTTTGCTAATGCACTGTGAATAAGGAAGAAAATATCATTCATTATCTTCATATTTTGTTGTATTATTTTAAAAAAGGTAAGCTTGCTGCGGAAGCTCATAGAAAAATTTGCAGTGTTTATGGAGATGATGCCTTTACCGAACGCACCTGTCAAAATTGGTTTCATTTACGAAATTTGGCATCATTGATGCTCAATGGTCTGATCGCCCACATGAAATTGAAACGAGCTATTTTAAGACCATTATTGATCAAAATCCCACCCAAACAGTATGAGAGATTGCTGCCTAGGGCTCTAAATGTGTCTCACACAAGCGTAGAAAACCATTTGCACAATCTCCATTATGTTTCCAGGCTTAATTAATGTTTGGGTCCATCACATGATTGTTTTTTTTTTTTTGTTTTTTTTTAAATCTCAAAAACGTGTTATAATTTCAATACGACTTTAGTTATCTACAAGAAATTTAGCAGGAATTTAGGGCCATATAAACTATACAAAATGACTTCAACATGACCTTCGCAAACAAACTAAAAATGGAGATAAAAAATAAAAACTATAAGGAGTTTTGTTTTATTTATTCCATATGTAGGTATTAAATCACAAAACCATTCATACAACTTTGAAGAGCGATAATTCAGCTTTCCAACAGATATAGTAACATCGAATTTGGAGAGCATCCTGCAGAGTTATGAATGATTCCACAACAGGATGTTGTGTTCCACCAAGACAACGCTAAGCCCCACCCTCCCTATTAACCAGACCTAGCTCCAAGTAACTACCACTTGTTCTTGTATCCTTAGAACTCCATGAATGGAAAGAAATCCTAAAAGGAAGAGGACATCAAAAACCACTTGGATCAGTTTTCTAACACTTAACTCCAGACATTCTATGAACATGGCATTATGCAGTTAGTGGAAAGATTGGAAAAAGTCATATTATGGTCAATATATTTATCAGATTTCTGGAACAAATCCCAGTTAAAAAGAACCACCATAGAATCTGGGACTTAAAATTACATCTAGAAGAATAGGCTACAATGTACTTCTTCATTATTGAATAATTTAATGAAATAAATGATTTTTAACACTTTTTTTTTTTCTTTTTAATCTTGAATTTTTATTTAATTTTTTTCCAATTTTAAATAGAAACTTAAAATCTGTTTTGTGTTGCAGATAAAACGTTACAGGATTCTTTTCTTGCGTTTCACCCATGACGATACTAAGGCCCAGAAGTGTCTGCTAGGAGGTGTTGAGCAAATCATTGCCCTTCATAAGGAAGCTCTTCTACCAAAAGTGGCTGCGATCCTAAAGGTTATTATCAATTGTAGATTTATTTAAAAATGTCAATTAAACTAGAAAACCTTTTATTTAATAGTTGTTACTTTTATGACAAAATTTTTATTTTTATTATAAAGGTATAATTAATTCATTGAATTATATATTTACGGGAGCAGGATTAATGCCAGAGTTAGATGTCCTCCTTGGCACCGGGACGTGAATTCGATATTATTTTACTTCATAATGTTCTATCCGGGTACCTTTAATTAGAGAGGAACCTTTTTATCATTAGATACAGCATTAGGTTTAGGCAGCGATAACAGAGGCGCAATATAAGTAAAATGTATATATAATATATATAGATAAGATATATATTCAACTTACTTCTAGCTCTAGATTAAGGAAAATCGTGCATAACTATTGGAGGCTGCAGCTAGCTCACGGAGGCTTACAGGTTCTCCACCTGTAAACTACTCAGTTTAACTTGTCTTTTAAAACATGTCATATTGTGGACGTTAGTCAAAAAAATTTAAGTATATTATTATTCCTTACTTTGTTATCCATATCTATATACATAACATAAAGTGATAGTTTAAATTACCTATACATACAATAACTGCTTGTCGTTATATGCAAACTTTTTATTCATTCAGTTGCTGTATGACATGGACATCTTGGAAGAGGGAGTTCTGTTGGATTGGGGTGCCAAAGTGAGCAAGAAGTACGTGAACAAGGAGTTGAGTACTGAGATCCACCAACGGGCGCAGGTGTTCCTCACCTGGCTCAAGGAGGCCGAGGAGGAGGAAGAGTCGAGCGAGGAAGATGAAGATGATCTTGAGGTAACTTTTAGTTTTTTAACAATGATTATTATAAATGTTTAACGAACCGGGAGCTGGATGCCAATATCGTCAGTTACTGCTGTATACTTTTTTTCTGTTCAAGTACTCTTATTACCTGAAATGACAACACATGTTTCAAAAATTATTTCTTTCATAGCAAAGCCTTTTTTTTTTTTTTTTTTTCATGAAGATTTAACAAATAGTAAGTACTCGGTAAACACAGAAAAATAATACATAAACTGATTTCCACAGAAATGTCAAACAATAGTTCATTTTTTTTTTTTTTTTTTTTTTTTTTTTTTTTTTTTTTTTTTTCAAAGATATAAAATTTACAGTGGTGAAGTCAGAATGCTGGAAGGATTTATTATAATTTTACTGTTTTTAATTTTCAATCTTCTCTTCTCTGAGCAACCGTGACATTTATTTTTGCTTCCCTTCCAAGAATTGAATGACGCAACTTAGGTCGTGATGAACCTGTAGACACTCTTCTATCTAAAAAATAAAAATTGAGATGTGTCCATGTAGAAAATTATTGGCTTCTTAAATGACAACGATGGCTTTAATTAATTCATTGAAAGCTCTTATTAATTTTTTGATGTGCGACCCAACCAAGCTACTGATGTGCTTGCTTGTCGATTACAGAATAAGAATTGTTTTAGACACCATAAACCATCTGACTGGAGAGGTTGTGATAGTGTGTTATCTCACATATACTATTTATCAGTTGGATTGCTGGATATTGAACTGGCTGGCTATGCAATTCATCTTGTCAGTTCTCTTGATCCATACCAGTTTTTCCATCCCTCTATTGAACGGCTGTGATCGTGTATGGTAGCCATAAATTTACCTTTCGTGGATTTAGATTGTAAAAATATATGTTCATGTCGGAAGGTATTTCAAGATCTCTATTTATAACATATTTGATAAAATGTTTATATTGTTTCAGATTGAATATAACGACCGCGCCAAGACAACTCCATTGAAGGCGACCCCTATCGCTAAGCCGACTCCCGCCGCAGCCGCTGGTGAAGAGGACGGAGACGACTTGGATATTGATGCCATTTAGATCCATTGCCTCTCCCACTATCACTCAATTCCTTTCTCACTTTCATCTCTCTTTTTCTTTCTCTCTCTTCCCTTTCTTCTAAATCGTTTTTATTATAGTCCCTTCTCTCTATCTCTCTCTCTCTCTCTCTCCCATCTCACTGTATAGTGCTATATATATAAAGTATATATACTTATAATATATTGTATAGAACAAGATCAATTTGTTTGTGTCTTTATATTATATATATTGTTGGTAATTGGCTCGAAATAAGTTAGTATCGAATAGAGTTGAGCATCATGATGGAAATACAGCTGAGGTCATTCTGTGCAAGGAATGCCGATAAAGAAATAGTGCATGCGTTAGTTAATGAAACGTATTGCATCGTCATATGTATAATAGCTGCTATTGCACAGCACGGAGAGAAAGATCCAATTACTACTGTCTTATGCCTACTCGACACAATATAGTATCCTTTTAATTTTTTTTTTTTATAGGGATTTTATTTTCTGCTTTTGAAACATTATGAATACGGTGCCTGTTAATGATTTGTTATTTATATAATTTTTTTTTTTTTAATAGTGAAATTGAATGAAAAGGGAGTACGATTTTCTGAAATATATATCTATATTATTTGTAAATCTATTTTAATTGTACGTAATGTATAACATATGAGGTTAGGCATTTATTTTGTATAGTCCCATATACCTTCATTTGTTTCTGGTATCGAGCATATTTGTTTTTGGATAAATGTAATTGTATTTAATAGATAAAAAATGTTTCGCTTATATATATATTTTTACTGGGTTTTTATAATTGGCTTTGCCGCCATTTATAATAGATTATTAAAATTTGTTAAAGCGAATACAATAAATAATTCTTTAAGTAAATATAAATTCCTGATAGGAGAAATATTTAAATGTATTATTATATTATTATAACAGTTGAATGTTAGTTTTAAAATTGTTTCTAAATATATTTACTCTTGACTGAGAGCAGACATAAGGTTGTTATAAATAATTCTTCCTTTCCTTCCCTATTATTATTATTATTATTCAATATTTTATTAATTATTAGTTGTGATTGTGGGACACATCTTTATTTACCTTATAACGTAGAGAAAATACAAGTTGCAGTGAGGAACAAAACTGCTGTGTATATTCAATTTGAGGTTAGAAAAAAGGACTAAGACTCAATGGTTTTGTCCCCCTGTTACCAGTACCAGTAGGGTCACCAAAAAGTGTTTTGTCCAAAACAGGGCATTTAAATTACTGGAGTAGTGAGGGGTTTAGTATTTAGTATAATCAGGAAAAATTTTAAAAATGCTAAGAAGAAATGATGATGTCACTCCTAACACTTGTCGATGACAGTAAACAACCTTCAGCTTGCATATGACACCTAATTGGTCCAAAACAGGGCATTTAAATTACTGGAGTAGTGAGGGGTTTAGTATTTAGTATAATCAGGAAAAATTTTAAAAATGCTAAGAAGAAATGATGATGTCACTCCTAACACTTGTCGATGACTAAACAACCTTCAGCTTACATATGACATCTAATAGCACACCCAATTATATTTAAATGGATTAAATTGTTCTATTTGCAATGCAGTAAAATAAACATTGATGTCAATAATAAATTCAAATCTATTTCATAATTGGAAAAGTTCTTTTTTACTTTCACTTGCCCCTATGAAATATATATAGTAAAGGAAAGTATTGCGATCGTTAAAATTTTTTTATCAGTTTTCAAGGGAAATGCACATTTTGAGATCCGTCCCCTGAGTTGAAATAATCAAGTCCCACAAAATAGTCTGTTAACTGTCCAGCTCAAAAATGAAAGTGAAATGGCATATTTTAGGTTTCTACCTGGGATGTTACAAAAACTTTTTCGTCAAAATCGGCTAACCACAAGTAGCACTTTTGTCATCGATTTAATACATTTTTACAATTTTCTTTATGACAACAATTCTGATTAATTTCATGATATCAGTTTTTAATATAATGTAGGTTTTATTCTCATTGATTTTCTCTTATAGAATTAAATGGCTAATTTTCAATATTAGCTTCCACTAAAGTACCTTTAATTTTTTTTATACAATTAACCATTTCTCATTGATCTGTGATATAAAAAATAGCTTAATATAACATATTAAGAATTTAATTATTAACTAAAGGAGAAATAAGAGATTGTAACGGAGAATAGTTGTAATAGAGGAATCGAAGAAAAAATACGAGCGCGCCCGTAAGATTACAACAGACTTCTATACGTAACATGAGCTTAATATAATATGGACTATGACAATACTATGTAGATATATATATATGGGGTTTTTATAAATGCTATTGTTGGTATTATTAAATATTAATTGTATAGATTACAGCGATATAAACATTAAAATTTGTTTATATGAGGGTACTTAAATAAATATAGCGTCTATAATTTTTACTTTCACTTTCCCTTTTTCAGAAAATACTTATTTCTGCTAAGAAGAGGGTGGTAAGTTAAAGTTCTGTGATGTACGCACTGCACCATATTTTTTTGTTTATTGGGTGGGGAGGCATATTTTTGTAAACAGACGAGACACTTAGCAAAGACTTTTATAATGGTACTGTCCTGTAACAAAGAGAGTTACGAACACACTTGTCTTCTATATACTTATGCTTTCTTAGTGAATAATATGAGGCCCATACAATGCTATTAGGCAAAGACTATTCAGCTGATACTAAAAAGAAAAATCTATACATATACCATAGCATAGGCGTGGAGTAAATATACCAAGGTAATATTTGGAAAGGAAAAGAACAATTTTTTGATAAGACAAATAATACCGCAACCAACCTTCCCTCGAATGACATATTGGTGTTGATATCCCGGGAACTTTAAAAAAAATTAAGTTCATATAAATAATACAAATATACTAAGTACATGTAAAGGGATTATACATGTACTTACAATGCAAAATCAGAACTAACCTATGCAGCAATAACAACACAGTCTTTATAGCCATGTCTTAACATTGCACACAGAATAATAAAATTATTTTTATTCAAAATTAAACACTGTCTTTACAGACATATTGTAATGAAATTCCAATAAGGTGCTTTGTAGTTGCACATAGCACCCAAATAACAACACATTTATACAATGTTAAGGAATAGATAGGCAAGGTAAATAAATGAGACGATTTATAAAATAAATTGCATCGTATAAACAGTATTTTTTATTTTAAAAAAACAAAAAATATGATTATTAATATATATATTACTTTTAGAAAATAAAATGGAGATAAATATCTTTTAAACTTAACATCTTTATATTAAATAAAATTAACATATTACTGAGAAAACTAAGTAACAATTTTACAAAATAGGTATATAAAAATCTTTTGGTAACACAGAATATAAGTTATCACAGAAATGTCATTCTATACACTTGTATTATTTATATTTAATAGAAAAACTTATACCATTAAATATACATAAAAATGGTTTGAATTTACAAACTGATTTGTAGTATAAATTTCTTTTTGTACATATTGCACCTCTTTTTTTTTTTTTTTTTTTTTAAGAATCATTGAACAAACATAATGCTAATAAGGCAATGACGAATTATACATATACCATTATTTTAGAAAGAGAGCATTTTTAAATTCATTTTGATTGCTAAAATGTTCATATTTTATGATAAGACATTAACATTACATGCTTTCAATCACTATGATTTATCATTACATCTCCTTAAATAGAAACTATTATTTTAAATAGATAAGCAATAGAAGGTAACTCCTAACATCTAAGCCTCATAGTTAACGGTTTAACTTCAGTTAAGTATATTACGTATCTCTTTAAATTAATAGTTCTGTCTACGTTAAGGTCATAAAATTGATAAATAAAAGGATTTTCACCTCTTGGATAAAGCTTTACTTATTTATTCTCATTTGAGGTAGGCCATTGCTTTAAGATTTATCAGAACACTTGTACCAATTGAATATAGGTTTTTTTAAACAATAATTTATGCTCCTTTATAGAAACTAGCTAATAATTATAAAGCCCTATGACGGGCCATAATATGCCTTTTTAAGTGACCATTCGTTATCGCTCCAAACTCACAATCAGGACATCGATAAGGCCTCTCACATGTATGATAAGCCATAATATGGCTTTTCAAACAACTAACTCGAAGTGCTCTATAATCGCATTCAGGACATTGATGAGGTTTCTCACCTGTATGACGTGCAGTCACGTGCGTTTTTAATTGACTAATAGTTACCGTTTTAAAGTCACAATGAGGACACTGATGAGGCTTCTCATCTGTATGATGCCTCAATATATGAGTTTTCAAAGTCTCGATGAGTGTTGCTTTATAGTTACAATGAGGACATTGGTGTGGCTTATTGCCTGTATGATGAGAGATCGTGTGTGCCTTCAATTGGCCGACAGTTACTGTTCTATAATCACATTGAGGACACTGATGAGGCTTCTCACCCGTATGATGCCTCATCATATGAGTTTTTAATTTAGCTATAGTTACTGTTCCATATTCACATTGAGGGCATCGATGAGGCTTTTCACCTGTATGACGCATTATATGTGTTCTTAAATGACCAGCAGTCACCGTTCTATAGTCACAATGAGGACACTGATGAGGCTTCTCACCAGTATGATTATGCTTTATATGTCTTTGTAAATTACTTTTTTCTGATGTTCTATATTCACAATGAGGACATTTAATGGATTTCTCTACAGTATGCCGGGCCAATAAATGTCTTTTTAAAATACTATGGGTCACTGCTTTATAGTCACAATAAGGGCACTTATGTTGCTTATCATCTGTATGACATTTCCTCATGTGTGCTTTTAATTTTTTAAGTTCTGTTCCTTTATAATTACACTTAGGACATGGGTGAGATTCGACATCGATATGATGGACCACTATATTGCTTTCTAAATTAATATTCTCTTCTTTACAATCACATTTAGGGCAGTCTTGACATTTTTTTGTTTTCTGATAGGTGAATATACCTTCTCTGTATTTAGGAGATTCAAGAGTTTTATTATCACAATCTAAAGAATTATTATTCTCTTGTAACATCCTAATGGAATCCAAATTTGTCTTATTTTTTACTTCACACTGGCTGATCTGTGAATTGTCATGGAGATCCTTGTTACCTAAAAAAATAAATAAATGTTTATTTTCTTAAATATACAAAGTAACCAAGCAGTCTAGCCAATCAAGTACTTTCATGGAAAAAAAATCATGTAAATTTGAACTGCTGTAGAATTCGTGTTAAATAACATTTATAGAATTTAGATTGAACTTTTCAAATAGTAAAAAAAAAAAAAAAACATTCATATTAGGCTAAAGATTTCAAATAACAGTACGTCGTGAAGAGAAGGTATGGTGGGAACTGGAGGCATGGCCTGAGTCCACTGTGGCATGATGCTTTCAAACATCTCTTATTTCTACCATTAAGATAGTTGTACCGTTATTAGACACTATAAGAAATTTTTTCAATAATTATGAGTACTATAGGTTTAGTAATAGACATTGAATCTTTGCAAATGGATTTAATTGTCAGCAAATTTAGCCTTTTATCAATTTTTTTTTCATTATCTATACAGCTAATCAGTTAATTATCCATGAAAAACTTAAGAAATTCTGACACCTTATATTGCAACAGTAATAGACACTCAATTGTTAAGGTCAATTTTTTTTTTAAGTAATAAAAAGAATCCAAAATAAATTTTATACTAGCACTGCAATTTCAAACTAAAAATGGGTGGAATTTTTTGCCTGTCAGTGTAAATACAATTAAATATTATATTGTGATACAAATAATAATTTGACATAAAGCTGTGGAAATAATTAATCATGAAACTGAATCGAACACAAATCACTAATTACCATTGCAGACACCCTGATTTTAAAGCTAATTAAAAACAAATGAGGAGCATAAACTAAAAGCAACCTTCTAATACATCTACTCTATGGGATCCTCGGAGGAAAACTACTGATGCTAACTTTTAGACCAATTCTCCATTGATTTAGAGTAGGAGTCTCCAAACTATGGACCGCAGTTTTTTTTTTCTTTTAGAAAGCTCTTTTAACACCTGTAGTATCATTTATGGAACAAGATTTCTTTTTATAACAAGCCATAGCCAGTAGAAGTTAGTCGAGGTCCCAATTTAGCCCACGGGCCAAAAAGTTTGGAGGCTCTTGATCTAGATAACTATACCTTTGCCCTTTATCTACACTTCCCCGCTCCGTTATTGTTACCCCATTCTTCCTCAATACAGTCATCAGAAACTGGACAAGTTATACCAATGCTTGGACAAATTCCAGACAATTGAAATACCAGTAAAATATGCTAAGAAATACCATAATGGTAAAATAATGATAATAATAATATAATGACGTTTCTCACCCTCATCAGGAATGAGTGCTTCTCCTTCATGCTTCACGTGAGTCTGTCCATCTGTCAAGATCAATTTAATTTTTAAATAAGTCAATATATAAAAAAACAATTAAATATATAAGAAATTTGATAAACAAATTTTAACTATTGACAATCTAAAGAATATTATTCAGGAATAATCAGGACTACTGTTCCAATGTATGGGTAGCAATAATAGAAATATACAATATTATAAAAATACAAACAAAAATAAAGGGGTTCACGTATGTTTAAACTAACATAAAAAGTATTATTTATATTATTACTCACCGTAATATATATTTGGTCTAACCTCGTCTTTAATACCAGTCCCAGGAACTGTAAGAAAAAATAAATTATTTCTTGACTGTGAAAATCAGCTATAATAAAATCGGTTAGATAGGACGTTATTATTAATTTCAAGAAACATCCATAACTAAGACAAAAAATAACCTAAAAAATAGGAAGTTAAATTAATTACTTAATCTATACTAAAATTAAATGAAGAGTTTGTTTTAGATCTCACTAATTTCAGGAACTATCTGTCCGATTGGAAAAATTCTTTTTTTTTTTTTTATAAGAACATTTATTGAACAATGCTTAAGGTCTAGTAGAATCATGCTGCGACCCATACAAATAGATAAGTAATTATAAACATCAAAGATTGGTCACTTTATTTTTCCACATAAATTTTGGATTTCAGTCCATTAATAAGATGCAGTTATGTGTCAGAAAAATACATGTATGAGGAGTATTTGAAAAGAAACACAATATTTTCATTGTGTTGGTAAAAATGTCTGAAAAGTTTCCGTCCATTGTTAACCGTATTCGATGTTTAGTCTGTTGTTAGCTGTCAACAAAATTATATGTGTAAGGCATTATCTATTTGTAAAAAAAATAAATGGTTTTATTTGCACCTTTAGGTGAGGAAGAGAATATGCAAAATTTAAATATGGCTTTCAGGAGTCAGCTAAATATTGTTTTTCTAAATAAAAGAAGGTTCTATTGATGGTATAAACATTTCCAAGAAGGGTGCAAAAACATTGAAGATGAAAAAATGTAAAACATTGAAGTAATCATTAATCATTATATCAAGAATCTGTGATTAATTGTAAATTTCAAAAACTGTAACTACTGCCGAAACAAGTAGGAATATATTCAAACACATATGATTCATCATCCATGATGAAAAATTCAGTATTGATAATCAAAATTGTAAGGATATCATAATATAGGGTAATACAGCAATACATTTTTTTTAAATAGAAGTTATAAGAAATCTCACTTTCAGATTCCATTTCTTCTTCATTACAAACATAAGAGTCACACGAACCTGGAAAAAAAATTAAAAATAGTCATTATAAAAAAGTATGCGAAATTTACAGATTTTAAAAAAGAAAAACTTACAAGAATTATCATCTGTTTTCTCTTCTTTAATAAAAACAAAAGAGTCATCCAAATCTAACAACAAATAAAGTAAAACATAAGTTTATGCAAACACTCTTTTGTTTGACAATCATAAATTTTAAATCAGAAAACTTACAAGAAGTCTTAGTTTCATCTTTCTTTTCTTCCTCATTAAAAGCATAAGAATTGTTCATACCTGAAATGAAAGCAAATAAACAAAACAAATTAAAAACAACCCGTTTATCTAAAATCGATATTATATTTTATTATATGGTATTATATTATATTATAGAATATCCAAGGCAAACCAAGCATACTACCAGATTGCTAGCAGTATCCACAGCTGTCATGAAATGGATAAAAATACCAAGATGCACGTCTATAAGTCAATGCACCTGCTTATTCTCACCTATGGCAGAGAAAGTGGGACTATGTTGGACAAACATAACAGTTGCATAACAGCACCAGAAATGCGGTTCCTACGTAGATCGGTGAGAAAAACTAGGAGGATCACATTAGAAACGAAACTATAAGAAAACGGCTGGAAGTGCCTGAACACAAAACCACTTTGGAGAACAGGCAACTAAAGTGGATTGGATGTCTGCCACATGAACGAGGACATGGACCCTATAAAGATATTAGAGGCTCGACCCACAGGGAAGAGGCCACGAGGGCGTCCCAGAGTCTCATATCAGGAGTTCATGCAGAAGATGGGAGGTAGAAGATGCAAATCCTTCAACCTGATGAAGCGGTTAAGCAGAGACCAAGAACAGTAGCTGCTCTGGATATAGGCTCCTCGACGCTAGAAATGGCATTGTAAGGAAGACAAAGAAGAAGTATTATATTTTGGTTTATTATTTTCAATAATCACCATCAACCATTGTGATCGACCAAAAAATTCAAAAACTTAACCCCCTCTCAAAATTTGAGGTATCACGTTTCAGGACGCGTAGAATTCGAAAAACAAGTAAAATTTTTTTTGTCCGAAACTACTGGACCGATTTTTTTCAAATTTTGATATAAAATCAGAGGTCACCCGAGGATGATCCTCCTTCATCGACATTACTCTCCACCTTTAACTTTCAAAATGGTGGCCAAAAAACCTGCATTGCTATAGACTGTAGCTCCTAAATGAATGTACAGATTTCAATGAAACTTCGCTAAAGTCATTTTCTCGACACCCTTTAAATTTATTTATATAACATATTTCAACGAAAAGAAGCTGGAAAAAAAGTTACGAGGGATGGTAAAATTAAATTCTGAATAACTCGAAAAGTTTTTACTTTTTTGTTGATATTGATAGTTTTTTAAAAGTTTACGAAATTGCCTAAAAAACAAAAAAAAAAATCGTTAAAATCGGACAATTAGGAGCAAAGATATGGTCTCCGGTTTTTTTTATATGTTCTACTCCAAATGTTATATCCTTGGTTTGGTTTTTAAATTTTGAATATGTTACTGAACTAATGCTATTTTTTTTTAGCATATTACTAATGATTAAAGAAAAACAGTTTAGCCCAATAATTGGAATCACCTTTTGTTTTTTTTTTCTTTGTAACTCGGAAGGTAATGTTACATTAGATGTATAATTGTTTGGAAATAATAAACCATTGTGAAATAATTTGCAGCGTTTGAAATTTGCTATAAATACATAAAACATATTATTATATTTTAATTTAACTATTTTATATTTATAAAACTATATTCATAAATGAAAGACAGTTAGTAAAATTTATTTTATTTAATTACCATCAATTTTAATCTAAAATCTTTATAGATATAATATGAGACGAAAAACGGACACAGTTTCAACTTTATTTTTTTTAAATAGAAAGTAATAAAAAAAGGTATGATATGATATGACAATAGTTACATGACAATTAATTAATAATTTATTAATAATGTGTTGTAATTATAGAGATGAATATGGTGCAGGTCACTGAAAACTGCTCTGAGAATAAGAAATGAAATAAAATAATGCAGATTATAAAGTGACTGTATTTGGTAATTATAAAAAAAAAAAAAAAAAAAAAAAATGCTTTAAAATGAGAAAACTTACAAGATACTTCAGTTTCATCTGTGTTTTCTTCTTTAATAACAACAATTGGTTCATTGATACCTGCAACAAAAACAACCAGGATTAAAAATAGTAATTTTGGTACTAACTAATCATATCATCAACAAATAAAATTTTTATAGTTAAATCTTTAAATTTAATGTCATTTAATAGTATAACTAGGGCAGCAGGAAGAATAACTGTTCATATAAGTTCTTTATTGTTGTGAGTTTATTTTCTTTGTAAATAAAATAAACATTAAAATTTGGAATCTACCTTCTACACTCTAGAGCACTCTCGCTCAACCTCCACTGGGTTTAGCCCCAGTGACACGGTTGAGAGAGAAGTGCAGAGATCTCCTGGAGTCATGCTTTTCCCTCCACACTTGGAGGGACAAGTTTGGCTTGGAGTTCTCTCGCCTGATAGTAAATAGTGTATATAGGTATGTTTGTGTTCTTTTTATTTATTTATTTTTAGATTATTTTATACTTATTTATTGTATATATATTATTATTACTGTACAGAGAGTGTGAATGTGATCTCTGAGCACTATTATAAATGTCCTTTAAGACAGATTATAATATTTTCAATGAACAATAAAAAAAAAAAAAAAAAAAACCTATACCATACAACCTATAACAGAAGGTTAGGAATGCCATATGATATTATTGGTTCCTGAAATTATACATAATATAATAATATATATTCATTTTGGATGTGCAAATTATTAAGTAATATTAGGAGGTGGAATAGATTAATGGGGCACGAACATGTGCTCATGTTGCAGTTTCCGGATATGAGATCAGGTGTGGCAGGTAATTATTTATTCTGTTACATCAGCTGTGGATCAGTTCTGGGATCTGGAGACCTTTCTGGAGGACGACACCCAGCCTCTGTAAAGTGGGTACTCTTAATTAAATGGAAAAACCCGGCGGTTGAATGTGGCCTCGGTTAAATCACCTTGCCAAAGCGTTGATCAAGAAACAGTACTTCCTTACAAAATACTGTATCCAAGACCCAAGATTTATAAGATATTATGGAAGTGTCCTTACTTTATATTAATTATGTGCGATTTAAAATTTATTTAAAATATTATTATTATTATTATTATTATATTAAGTAAAAATACAACAAGTAAATATGAATCGGTAAGATGGAATGTATGTCATGAAGAGAAACTACCCATCAGTAGCACTCCAGTTATAGTTCAACAATAGAATGTCCTGAGGCCATCTTCTTTTCAGACACCTCAGAGAGTTGTCAGGAATAAAAAAAGAAACGAGCGAGATTGGATGAGCCTGAAGTTTATAATGGATTGATAGGTATCTGGATTGGGCAAAGTCGGTAACATATAGAACATTAAGTAAGGCCATAAATAGATAATTTTATTTGTGATAAAGTAAGGAGCATTAAGGATTTTGGATTGTAACGATTGGATACAAGAGGAATTTAATGGTTAAGTGGACCCCCAAAGCTCAACTCCATAATAGGCCTTATTATAATCAAGTAAAAGAGCCTTTTATATAATTAATTGTTAAGTTTAGGGTCTTACAAGAACCCTCAATTTCATCTGTTTTATCTTCTTTCATGGAGCAGAAAGAGTCACTCATACCTAAAAAAAGAAAGATTACAAATAATATTATGTAATAACAATATATATAAAAAACTATAATGTTATATTCACTAATTTTAAACAAAGAAAACTTACAAGAAGCCTCAGTCTCATCTATCTTTTCTTCTTTAATGAAAACAAAAGATTCATCTGAAAAATAGATACAATTTAATTAACTATTATTATAAATATTTAATTTATTTATGAACCCACAGGCATGCATTCTGTACTTATAATTTTTTCTAAAGGGACAACAGTCCCAGAATAATAAAATATATTTTCATTTCATTTCATGTCCATAAATAATTTATGTTAAGAATAAAATATACTGCAATATTGAAACTTAAATTTAATTTTATTGTCCCTGTGACAGAATATTATATGTCTAAATAAATAAATAAAAAAAAAAAAATTAATAATTCATGTTTTCTAAAGATGGCAACCAACAGTTCACATTAAATGTTCTGAAGAATACTAATGTTTCTTTTCTTAAGGAAAGAGATGGTTCGGGATGGTGATTAACTAAAAGAAACTTAAAATAGTGGAAACTAATTTATTAACCCGACGTTCTGACCCAATTATGCAGGTGTTGATCTTTTTTGTGCAGATTTATTTATTTATATATATATATTTTTTTTTTAGTTTAGTTTTTGAGATATTATATAACTGAATAACTGAAAGCCATTTATAATTAATGTTGATAAAAACATTCAAGAGCCACAGAGCCCGAAGAAGAAAGTAAGGCTCCGTAGCAGATAGTCCGTCTGACTAAGAGGAAGTACAATAGTAGGATTCAAGAAAATAGGTCACAGGAAATCACAAATAAAGAAAAGAAAATTGATAACAGTGGTTTCACGAATTTCAGCTTATTATCATTGCCGCTGAAACCATATATAGCCAAAAGGCTAAGTTTATTATGTTGGAGAACCAATACATCATAACCCACGAGAAGTTGATGGGGTGCCAATAAAGGTCTTGAGGACTGATTTATATTTTTTGTAGATTTAAATTTATACCTTGACATGCATAAAACATAAGTCAGAAATTTTTTTCAGATGAAACATATAATTGTAAACTCTATAAAACCAATCTACTATAAACACAATAAGAAATAACTTATTAAAAATATTAACACATCATCAAATAAAAAAGTGATATATTTAGTTAACATATCAAATATTGCTTTTTCTGGATTGAAAAATCAATGAAAGATAAAGAATATATGATGATGTCAACAAAAAAAAAAAACTTACTCTCATCTAAAGTAATCGCAAGTCACAAAATTATTTTGCAAAATGTAATAAATGGGCTACTAATGATTTCTATAATATCTTGTACTATATCACTAATATTATCTTAATAAAAATATGAACAAATACCAAGAAGTATAATAAAATATACATTTTACCATTTACTTAAAAATCATAAATCATAAAATACATGATAAACAACATTGCAATTTAAAATATTTTAGAGTATTTTGAAAAAATATATGGACATCTTATTCTAACCTATTTCATCCATTATTATCAAAAATTATTTACAGGCTAAAAAAAGAACAACCCACAACCAGATATCTAATCAAAAGCAAGGTTTTATTTACATTTAGAATCCAAAGAGGTACGCTATATTTTCTCTATCAAAATTACTTAAGTTCGTTTTGACAAGTTTGTATATTGTCATAATAATTATAATGGTCGCCTTAAAAGTCAAAAATAAATTTTTAAAACAGGTTTTCGGTCTGAAATTAATTATCACAAAATGTAAATCAAAACTTAATGTAATATTTTAAATAGAAATGTAAAAGAAAGTAGACATTACTATAACTAACACACTTGTATCATTAATTACAGTTGAAATGTTCAGTTCCATTACGTACATCAGTTATTTTGTATCTTAATTGAAACATCAGACTAATATTTTTATGATATACTGGTTGAAAGCTACTGCTTTGTAATATGAAGTTTTAAATTAAACTGATGATATTCAACGTCTCATTTAACAGGAAATCTAAGGGTTAAAAATTTTATGTGATGTATAAAAGATATGTGACACTTCTAAGATATGTATAAAAGACTGACGACATTCTTAGTTGACTTTTAAAAATTAACTACTTCAAAGTCGCTAATTAGTGCAATAAAACAGTAGTTACACGTAAACACAATTCATTTTCTAGGTTTCTCTACAGTACCATGTTTTTGGGTTACTAAATCCGAATCTCTAAATTTCAAACAGACCTTTCTGGAGTGTTCTTAGATATACACAAAAAAATCTTATTATTATTATTAGTTCCTAGAATCTTTGAGGTAGGACATAGGATCGTCACGAAGTTTTGTTATGCATCTCAATCTTGACTCCAGACCAGGTCTGTCCGGCGCTGCGCCTTTCTTTCTCTAGAGTCCTTCACCACGTTTCTGAAGCCGTTCGCGTCTTCACTGGAATCCTAATTCCACTCAAGACTCTACCATGTTATGTCGTTATGCTCCTTTCTATGCGTGTACCCCAGCCATCTCCATTTCCGAGGTTTAATGACCTGATCGATCAGGGTTTGATTAGTTCGCGACCAGAGCTCGGCATTAGAGATTGTTTCAGGTCACCATACTCGCATTTTATTCCGTAGATATCTATTGATAAATGTCTGTAACTTCTTGGTCACCTGCTTGGTAACTTTCCAAGTCTCACAAACAAATAGAAGAACCGACATATCATTTATTTTGAAGATGCGAAGCTTGGCCCCTTTCCACTAACCAAAGCTGCGAGAATGTTTTGGGGGCTTTCCTTATACGGCTCCCAATATCTTCACCAGCCCTTCCATACTCCCAAGGCAGCAGAATTTAGTAACTATTTAAATTATCTGATCTTCTATTAAAAGACTTTCCTGGCTCCTATTCATCCGCATATCTTTCGTGTTTTAGTAGCATTTATTAAATATATTCAAATAAAAAAGGAAATGAGATTCCGTGACTCTGTGCCCCTTAAAATCCGCCAGCTTCTAGTTTCCTCTCTCATTTTCTCTTAATTCGATTATGCCTACCTTGTAAACGGTGGACTGTCTGGTAGGCTTGAGATCAGATTAAAGAGACTAATGAATTGTCTCATTAGATTTATCCTTGGAGTCCCATGTCTCTAGTTGCTATGCCGAGTTGAATTGGTTCTATCCAGTTTTCCGACGGCAATATTTTCTAGGTGGATTCCTTTTTCGAACCTTTACAACCATAAAACCTTCTTGATTTCTTTACTCCTTGTTCCTCTGTTCATTTGTTCAACACGAGATCCCAATACCCAAATTTGTTCACTCCTCTTTTAAATTTTTTTTCGTAATACGTGCTACCACGTTTTGGGATTACCTACAAACATCCATACGGAAATCCTCATCCTTGACCTCATTTAAACACAATTTATTTTTCCATCTCCTCAGTAATCATCTTCTGAATATTTGTAAAAATAAAGTTAATTTGAACTTTAGAGATGTCAGCTGGATTATACTGATATCTTGCAGATATCTAGGTATGTGTCATATTGCTTATTTTTACAAATATGTGAACTCACTAGTATGTATTTATCTTTAAATTCATATGTCTACTTCAAAATCACTATTTACTACAGTGTCTTTTCTTTATCTGAATATTAAGGTTAGACAACTTTGCAAATTAATTAATTTTTAATTGTCACTTAATTATTTATAATTGCCAGATAATTGTTATTTCGTTGTTCATTATAGTTATTTTGAGGGAATTAAATGCCCCAGAATAAAATTAACTTTCTTTATTGATTTATTTTGAGCTTCCTCCTGGAGTTCACTTAGGTTATCCTGCACATCCCTGAAACTTTGGACTAAATAACATAACAAAATAGCTTAATATTCGCAGTTTTTGACTACAAACTACAAAGAGATAAATGCTTTGTTTGAAATAGTGGCACCCTACTCCATAAGGTAGCTTAATACACAGTATGCTTTTAAATCCCATTTGGACACAGTATTTACACGCTACTTTAGTACAGTGGTCTATGTACCACCAACCCATTGTGGGTAAATGACGATGGTGACACCGGCGTCATTTTTAATAATGGCTTTAAAGTCAATCCATTGTGCATTAGTCGGTTGCCTCCAAATACCATTACGATCTCCGTATAACTCGTCGCTCAAATCTTAATCTCAAGAGTCAGTTCTTGAGGTTTCGGTAGGGTCCATAGGTCTGATAAGGTTTCGAATATAAACGCACGAAGCTAGTCCTAGAAACATCTCTGCCTCTGAAGACCATAACAGTACCTATTTTCCACCCATTTTCTTCGTAGTTGAGGAGAGTTCTTTATTGATAAATCATAATCGAAGCCTTTTGAATAGTGATTTTTTTTTTTTTTACCAGCTATAATTTCTTAGCTAATATTAACAAGAAGTTCTAGCTCCCAAAAATGATCAAGTCTTTGCTCTGATCTTTTGAATTCTTTAAGTATAATATGTACCACTAGTGTTTATTTGATTTAATTAAAGAAAATTACAGCTATTAAATAAGCCATCTCTTCATCTTTCTATCGCAGCATCCTCCAACCAAGCTGGATTCTGGCTTCAATAGTGTACAACAACAGATGGCCAATATGAGAGCCAAGTTATCTAAATAAGTAATACAGTCTTCCTACTCCTGAGACTCCTAGAATTTCATTAAATGTCTTTGGTGGGCTTGCTCTCATCAGGACTGGCTGTAAGTTCTAGATCACCAGCTTCTCCAATAACTTACTCGTAACCGGGAAGAGACAGACAGGCCTATAAGATTTACCAATTTGCTTGTCCTTGTCTCCTCCGTTGTAGAGATATCTGACATAAGTAATTTTCTACGTGTCTGAGAAGTTCTTCAATAGAAGGGAAAAATTATGACTGTGAGTGTTGATATTAATAGAGAGGTTACGATGGTCGAGCTTGTTAAACGACAAACATTAATATTCTCAAGTCTAGCTATGCCAATTCGAATCCGGTCTAGAAGGGTTAACATTTATTTTGGAGCGGACCCACAGAATGAATCTCGACCCTCTCACTCTGGTTAGAATAGGTTTGGATGTACCTCTAGAACAACTCCCTCACTCCTCCCACTGTCCAGGATTTGTGAGGCAGAGGGCAATGGAAAAAAAAAAGTTTATATTATGTTTGAGCATAAAAGGATAATTGAAAATAGCCATTTCAAACATCTTTTTTTTTTTTTATTATTATTGAAATTTACAACTGTATTAAATGATAAATACAACAAGTAACATGACAGATACAACATAAAGAGAAACTACCCATTGGTAGCACTCCAATTATATTTCTATATTAGAAGGTCCCGAGGTCATCTTCTTTTCAGACGCCTCGGTGGGTTATCAGGAACAGAAGAGGGATGAAGCAAGGTTGGAAACAAGAGGGTTAGGATGGTTTAGAAGTTAATTATGGAAGGATAGGTATCTGGATTGAGCTAAATCGAAAACATATGGCACATTAAGGTTGTTATGGATGATTTTATTTGTGAAAAAGTAAGGAGCATTGAGGATTTTATGAAGGATTTTGTATTGTAACGATTGGATACGAGAGGAATTTGATGGTTTAGTAGAGCCCCAAAGCTCGTTAACACAAGTCCAAATAGGCCCTATTATAGTAATATATATGAGTCTTTTGTAAATAGTTGCAAGTTTAGAGCGTTTGTCTAGTAAGTGCAACAGTAGTCGAAAACACCGGGCAGTTTCTAGTTGTTTCAGTCTGGTATGAGGGTTCCAAGTGAGTTGTTTGTCTAGGTGGAGTCCTAGGTATCGGATTTGTTCAACAGGGATAAGTGGGGTATTGTATAGGATACTTTAGGACAGGAAGTCATAGGTTTATGACGAAGAATAAAGGTAATTTGATGGATTTATTGGAATTTATTTTAATCCTCCAGTTTGACACCATTTTTGAAGACTTGTGATGTGTGATTGAAGAGTTTGGGATGCAATAGATGGATCGTTATTAACTGATAGGATACGCGTCTCACCACGGCATTGATGGTGATGACAGTGTTGGATAAATATCCTTTTAAATTTGAAGTATTGCTAAAATACTTCAAATCATACCTACAGATTCTAAAAACCACAAATTGGCCTGATTTTTTTAACGAAGTATTCCATAACCATGAATTCCCACTGTATGAATAATTTTTTTCTGAAAAATAAACTAACAAAATTAAAAATAATTATAAACCATTACACATATTGAATTGAAAACATTGTTTTTTGTAGTTTTTATTTAATATGCAAACCTATCTTTAAGTTATAAGCTAAAAATAACTGAAGTTGTGCGAACATTTCATAACTAATTGGGCACCAATGACAAAAATTTTATGTTGCAAAATTTATGAGCCA